CCCCCCTGTGAGTATGTATGTGTCTAGCTCTTCATCAGCCGCAGCAGGGTTTCTTCTTGAAGTGGGGGGGCCGCTGGGGAGGCCCTGGCGCGCCCGAATACCACTCCCACCCGCCACTACCGCCGGCAGCACCGCCCCCCATGCCCGGTATGTTGGTGTAGCCATAGCCGTAGTAGTTGCCAGCGGCAGCCGCTGCAGGCACGCCCAGGGTCCTGCACCAACCAAGAGAGCAAGGGCAAGTGGTGCATCCATCCATCCGCCTGCCTATGTGTGTGAATGTGTGTGTGAATGTGTGTGTGTGTGTGTGAATGTGTGTGTGGATGCCGCTCACATGGCCGTCGATGCACCGTAGTTGTGGGTGGGGCTGTAGTACGTGGGGTACCCATACCAGCCTGAGGCACAAGCAGCACACACACAGACAGAGAAAGAGGCAAGGCAAGATGGACGATTTGAGTCGAGTGGGTCCATTCAATGGCATTCTGTTCGTCTATCCAGTGCTCACTCTTGAGCTCTGATTTCTTCTTGGCAACAACCTGGGCCTCGATGTTCCGGTACGTCTGGAGCTGCGACGCCCTCAGCCGACCCTCCTCACACAAACGAGTCTGCACACACAGTCCATTGCACAGAGAGAGAGAGACCGCCATGCAATGCAGCGCCATGAATGAGCCGCCCTTCATGCATCTCATTCTCAATGCACTGGATCGCTTACCCACTCGGGAATGCCATCGTATATCCAACACAACTCGTCCACCGTCGAGCCCTGCTGCGCCTTGGCTAGAGATGTCTTCCGGGCACGGCAGCGGCAGCTGCAGGGGCGCCGTAGTACCCGGGCACCACACTGCACAAGTAGCGCACACACGAACGATGGATCGATGCCTCTGATGTGTTGTGCCCCATCAATTCATCGCTGTGGCGTGGGAACCTTTGCACAAGCCTCCTCCAACGGCTTGCGATCCGTCGCTGAAGGTGACATACAGGACATCAACAGACCGATGAGTGAAAGGTCACCCACACGATAAGAGGGAGGTGCGTGTTGTGGGCAACTTTCATACTTGTGCGATTGCCGATGGGTTTGGGCGCGGGTGGTATGACACTGTAGCCGAGCCTGCGCCCGTCGTCGGCGCCACGCAGCTGGCCGTAATCCAGGTCCTGCCACGGGTCGTGGAGGCCCTCCCCAGCCGCCTGAGAGATGGACAGAGATGGGAGATTGATGTAATGTGATCACTCAGTGGCGCTTACCCCATAGACCGGCTTCACCGCAACGATGCAAATGGCAGTCGCCCCATCACTTCGGTCATTTTGTGTCTCGGCCTGTTGATGTGAGTATCTCGGGTGGTCGTCTGTCTCGCAGTCCCGAGTCCAGCCACTTTGCGGATCAGCCCTTTCTCTGCGAATACCTGGACATCAGCAACAGGTACACAGCACAAACATATGCGGGCGAGTGAAGCATCTCGTCTGCTAATGTGGCGAATGGTGTGCGGTCCTGTTCGCCACGAAGGTCGATGCAGCTCGTTAATGAGCCGTCCTACACACAACAACACAAGACAAATTGCGCCTCTGTGTGTGTCGATGTGCTGTGTGTCTCTGTGTGTGTCTGTGAGGATCGATGCCATCCGTCTAATGGATATAAAATGTAGGCAACGATGACACCTGCAAACACACGCAAAACGCCCGAGTCTTCTGATTGTCTGCGCGGACCTCTGGCAGTGTGGTGTTATCGTCGCGAACGAAGTCCCAAACGCTCCGAATTGCATCAAAGAGCACACCACACAACACAAGACAACACAACACACGAATACGCGGCAGGCGATGGATGGCGTGTGACGTGTTGGTGTTTGCGTACCTCATGGCAGGAACGTTGATAGCTACGCCAGCACCACCGCTCGGCACGCTCTCGCCACCAGCACCAGCAACACCACCCATACCCACGCCCATCCCCAGCCCACCACCCAGCGCACTCACACCAACACCGTCAGCGCCGTGCTGCTGAACGGCCGGCGCCCAGAGAGATGAGGTTCGGCTGGTGCGCTTGTTCAATGGGCGGACGACGGGTGTTTCGGTGGGTGTGAATGCATTCATTGGAGACACAGGAAAGAAGACCTCAGCCGCTGTTGAGCTATAGTTCAGCATGGGCATACGCTGGCGTAGTTTGGTGGTGTTGAAGGCGTCTCATTCGGAGGGCGCTGGGCCACATTCAAGACCGTATCCAAACATGCCTTCTCGCCCGACGGCTATCACGTCACTGCGTCAACAACGAAGAGCATCGGAATCCACAGACATCACACGCATGAGTGCGAATAACTTCCTGTCATACTTGCTCGCCCACCTATATCCGCCGACTCCAACCAAGAGGTACTCACGAGCTCAATATGGCTGTTCTCTCAACTTCTCACGCGATTGAGGTTGCTCTCTCACAGGACGCCACCTGCTTGCTGGTGGCACCCTCGCAAAGCCTACCTCCGTGCATTGAGTGGAGTGTGTATCAATCCTCTTGTGTGTCTATGTGTGTGTACCCGAAGTATTGGCCCATCTGCTTCAGCTCCCTGTGCCTCTCCAGAAGCTCCCTTGCCCACCCGCTCGCCGCCTTCTCAGTCATGACCGCCCCTCCTTCGTCGAGCTGGTGAGCTGGTTCTGCAGGGTAGTCCACCCCCGGAGGTCTCCGTACTCGAGGAATGTGTATTTTCGATGATGATACGCCTACATATTACAGACAAGAGAAATACATGTATGTCTGAACGCCTCGCCCCCTCCCCCCCACCAGGGGCGATGACCACATTTGGCTTATCACCTGGATGCGGGCGAAGTGCTCTCGTCCCTCCTTCTGTACCCGCTGCAGTCTTGAGCTGCACCCCCTGCATGGCGTTGCCAGGCTCCTCGTTGGCCGTGTCCACGCACAGCAGCGTGCTGCGCCGCCCGAGCCCGTTCCTCGACAGTCGGCTGCCCTCATGTGTGTCCTGATGGTGGCCGTCCCAGTCGAAGTAAGTGCGGGCCATCCTGCAGATCGTATTGGGGCACCGAGAGGACGTCGAAGTCCGGGATGTATCGCCCATCGCCGCCCTACGTCTCTCCCTGGGATGATGCCACATACCATTGCAGCGCGCGAGTGAATATGTTGATCCCCTTCGAGAAGATACAAAATGTAGCCAGCGATGAGAAAGTGCTGCAGACACAGAAGAGACACATCAAGGACTGCATGAAGAAGCGAAACTTAGCTCTGCTTGCCGGACTAACCTCATCATTCATTGTTGGCAATCCATCGATCTCGAAGCCGGCGTGAGCTGCTGTTCGACCGTCTCGGTCCTATACGTCACCCACCCGTCGCACGCTCGAAGCCTTGCCCTCCCCGTGCACAGTGGTGGTAGCGTAGAAGCGACGGCGCCGGGCGGTGGAAACAGGACCCTGATCAATCCGAGACACACACACATAAAGGGACAATGTCAATCAGCCGACCAGCGTGGCGGGTGTGTCCTTCCCAGCGCACCAGGAATGGCGCAGCAACTCATTCAGTGTCGGTCGCTCTTGGGGGCCGGTGGCTGTGGCTGTCTGGATGAAGTCGGCGGCCTCGTTGGTGATCAGCCGGCAGTTGTGGGTGCCCTGGCTATAGGGGTGGAACAGGATGTTCTGCAGCACACACCTGCCGCACCCAGCGCGAGAGAATATGGCGTCTGTCTGTATGTGTGTGTGTCGAAGTTGTCGAGTAACCACCCTATTATCCATACGGCGGCTTTGTCGGGGTCAAAGGTGGCGTGCCTGGCGGCAATCTGGACATCAGCAGCGGCAAAAAAAACCACACACACACACATGTAAGTGCCTTCTCGTCTGTCTGTCTGTCTGTGTGGGCGCGACAGACCTCAGGCGGTGTGCTGTGCTGCTCGCCACAGACATCTCGGCAGTACATTACTGAACCATCCTGCACACACCAAGAGATATCGTGTGTGTCGCTGTGATGTCTGTTGGGGGGTGGGGGGTCGGACCTGACTGTACGGATGGAAGTGTCGGCCCCCATTCATATCGGCGATCTTGACGGTGCCGCTGCCGTCGACTAAGTAGTCCTTCAGGTCCCATGAACTACAAAGCCGCACAGGTGACATCACTCAGTGCGTTGGACCATGTCGTGTGTGTATCTGAGGGCATACCCGACATAGACGCGGAGTTTCTTGAGCTCCTGCTGCGTCTCCACTAGCTGCCTTGTCCAATGGTGGGCTTCGTGTTCGCTCATGGGCGCCTTTCGTGCGAAGAGGCGCCCGTGGAGCGTGCTGTAGCTGTCCATATCTTCGAACTCGCAAAACGACCACTCCCGATAATGATACACCTGCAAAGGGATGGCCACAGCAGACACACACGAGTGAAGGTGGCTGTGCACCGCCCATCCGTGGTGCTGCGCTTACCCCGCGCAGCTTCGCGAAGTGGCTCATCCCCTTCCACTCAGCCCTCTCCAACACTCCCACCTGCCGCTGGACCCGCCCCATCCAGTCATCCCCCATGACCTGCCCCCGGTTAGGCACCTGAGCCAGGGTGCTGTGCTGCCCCAAGCCGTCCTTGCGTGAGGACCGGCAGGTGTCCTGGGGGTGGTTGGCCAGCCTCTCCGCCGGGAAGTAGTCCCCGTTGGCCGCTCCGACGCCCATCTTGCTGGCCTGGTCGTAGTCGCCTCGCGGCAGAAACACACACACACACACACACACATGAAAGTGCCTTCTCGTCTGTCTGTCTGTCTGTGTGTGTGTGGGCGCGACAGACCTCAGGCGATTTGATGTGCTGCTCGCCACAGACATCTCGGCAGTACATTACTGACCCATCCTGCACACACCAAGAGATATCGTGTGTGTCGCTGTGATGTCTGTTGGGGGGTGGGGGGTCGGACCTGACTGTACGGATGGAAGTGTCGGCCCCCATTCATATCGGCGATCTTGACGGTGCCGCTGCCGTCGACTAAGTAGTCCTTCAGGTCCCATGACCTACAAAGCCACACACAGACGACGTCATCCACTGTGTTGCACCATGTCGTGTGTGGTGTGTCTCTTGGCATACACACATAGACGCAGAGTTTTTTGAGCGTCTCGATGAGCTGCCGTTGGGCCGCATTCTAGCTGGGCGCACTCCGGGAGAAGAGGCGTCCGTGCAGCGACGTGTGGCTGCCCAAATCCTCGAGCTCGAAGAACGACACGTCATGCTGATGATAGACCTGGAGGGAGATGGCCACATCAGACACACAGAGATCGAGTGTGGTCGAGTGAGTGAGTGAGCGTAGCGTATGTATGTGTGTCCTCTCCCCGCCCATTGTGCTGTCTTTCCTTACCCCCCTCAGCCTGGCAAAGTGCCTCATGCCCTCCCACTCGGCCCTCTCGAGCACCCTGACCTGCCGCTGCACCACGGACATCCTAGTCGAGCCCTTTATGAGGGCTCCAGGTGCCCATCTCCGTCAGGCTGCTGCGCTGCCCGAGCCCATCCTTGCGCGACGAGCAGGTGGTGTCCTGGGGGTGGGTGGTCTTGCGCTGCGCCGGCAAGTAGAACGTGTCGGCGGCTCCAATGCCCGTCTGGGTGGTCTGGTCGTACTTGTACTTCTCGGGCAGGTCAAAGTACGTGCGGGAGTAGCTGTCGTTGTGGACGTCTTCGAGGTCAAACTGTGGCGCCCTCAGGTAGTCGTAAGTCCCCAGCCCCCGCGCCAGGCCCATCTGAGTGCGATGGCACTCGTCGGGCAGATGGAAAGACCGCCGGAAGCGACCGAATGGCACAAAGCTGTTGCTGCCGCTCAACAGGTCACCCAAATCCTTGGCGATGCAGAACATGGGCTTGAGACGCTGCCGCCCCCACAAGACAAGAAGAGAGACAAAAGGTCTTCAACAGGCCCCCAGTGAAGGACTCCTGACGGCCTGGAATGACGGCGATGACCGGGGGGAGCAGCCAGTTACACGAGGGTCTGCACATGTATGGATGGATGTCATATTCGGGGGTTACCAGTCGGTGCTGCAGCTTGGGGCCGGTAGATGGCCGCCAAAGCGGCCAAATGTGCGGGAAACACAGAGGAGACATGAGCAAATTGTGCGTTGTCCTCTTTTTTCTGCCTTACTTACCTGCCTTTCCGGCCACTGGGAGAGGGGAAGAAGAAAATGCCACCGCCAGACTTCTCTCGCTGAGCTGAAAGAGAAGGCAAAAGGGACTGATGTCGAGTGTTCGTCACGCGAATGAGGCGACTGGCCTATTCAGAAGCTCCGCCTTTGTCTGAAGACACAGCTCGTTTTTCTAGTGAAGGAATCAGCACGTGGATAAACGACTACCTTTGTGGCTTCCATACGCATGCTTCCTGTTGGTCAGGAGGTTGTCGTCATTGGGAAAGCTTCTCGGCCGGCTGCAAGAGACAACGATGAATCAGATACAATTTTGAATCTGTCTCCTTTTCTCGCTTTTTTCGTCGGGCCAAAGGATCGCGTTTCTGAAAAGCAGCAGAGAGGAAACCCGACGTGAACATGAACATGAGACTGAGTGAGGCACTCACCCACCTCACCAACCTTCAGACAAATGCGTCGAGAACATGAGACGGTAATGAAAAGAACAAACCACCATTTCATCTGCACGCACAAACACGACAACAGGAGGCATCTCAGCACACCCATGGCAACGAAATGCACCATGCCTTCATCCCTACACATCATCCACACACCAAATCATCGCCACACCCAAGAGACATGACGCACTAGGCCACATTCATATGTACTCACCTGCTGGAGATCGGTCTATGCGCAAAGAAGGCGCCTGCGCACTCAGCTGATGCCGCGCAGTCGCCAGCCGCTTCACAGAAGTCAGGGCGCCACCAGACGAGGCCTCGCCCGGGGCACGGCGGTGGAGGAAAAAAGTGGCGGATGAAATCCGGACGAGTTGGGAAGGGTAGAGGGAGATGCGGCGGACAACACAAGTCAACAGCCAGCCGAAAAGAGAAAGAAACGGAGGATCTGTGGCTAAAACAAGGCTGGAAAGCCGAACGCGGACGGAAAATTGAAGAAACTGCTGTAAACTCGTAAATCTTTTGTCTCCGTCTCGAGCTCGCAAAACTCTCGCCGCTTTAAATTTGAATTTCGCTTTTCTGCGGACAAGAGGAGGCCATTAAAGGCAGACAGAGGCGGAGAGGATGGCTGCTGCCGCAGATGAGATTGGGTGAAATCGCTCACCTTAATGAGATCTCTCACTTTTCGCCTGGCCGGATGGGTCTGCAGAGGTTTTTCAATTGACCTCTAGTGGATCCTTAGCAAGGCTCAAAGCACTCGACCAGCCAGCCATTGTGGACCGGAATGGCTTGCGTTTCTTGCTGACCTTTTCACGTCATGGTTTGCAAGTGTGTGTATGGAGAGATATTGTTCACCTTCATTGGCACTGAGTGGATGCCTTCAAGCTCCATGGAATGGCATCGAAAACCGCATCGCCTCACTGAAATCAACAGCCCAGACGCACATGCACCGATCCTGCCACTCAACACCTGGCACACAGCGATGGCATGGCCGGCGCCAGGCAGATAGATTAGCCACCAAAGCCACGACAGAAGAGCAGTGAGAGCAGTGACATCCACACCCTTCTCTCCCTCATGTGTCTACCCATATGCCCTGCACGAAAAATGACATGTAAGTCAGTGAAGGCCAGCGGCCGAGCCCCACTTGTGTCTGTACCCATCCATTGTGGTGAGGCTACAGTGGCTCAATCGATTGGGTAACATCAATCACAAGGCGCCAGGAAGAAGCCACACGGACCGACCGACAGGCACTCCCCATCCTCGATGACCGATCACTCACTCCCCCTCACACGGACTCCTGACACACAGACAAGAATAAAAGCTGCCTCTGGCTATTCGACGAACGCTGCACGTGCGTGTCATGTTGCTTACGTGAGAGCAGCGACATCGGTGGGTTCACATACGCCCTGCACGAAAGATGGAAGATGGAAAGAAGCGAACACTGGCTGGCAAGTGTCACATGTTTCTATGTTATGCGTTTGTGCCCACGTTGGCTCAGTCGATAGGGACACACCGACCAAAAGCCACATTCGGGGGATGATGACTGTCTTGTGAACACCACTCGCATGGGCCGCACCTCTCCTGACACAGACAAAGAGAGAGGGGTAAAGAGAGTGTCTGTGTGTTCCGCTTGTGTGTTCATGCTTGGTTACCCGTTCATTGTGCTTCTTGTGTGTTAACTTGTTGACACCGGCCGACACAGGACAGAACCATCAGTCCTCACGCACTGCCTGCTGGCCACCCTGCAAAGGGTAGCGGATACACATGCGATCACAGAAGTCATCACATGGCGTGCACGGCTGTCCTGAGCACACCATGACGGATGCCGTTGGATGGAATGCATTTCGCTCATCCTGGCGAGGCCTTTCGCCGTCTTCATTAACCTGCAGATGTGACATCCATATGGAAGCCATCCAATGACTGAATGACAGCCCCAACTCATTCTGCGCATTCACTACCGACCTGTGTGAGCCCATCGATGCGTCCATCGCTGCGCCTGATGTGTGGGCCCGTCAAGGGGTAGGAAGCGAGTCATGCACCGCCCGAATTAAGTCGCATATGAACGTGAGTGGCCTCGGGGGAGGCGTCTATCACACGCCCGTCCTCTCCCTTCTTCTCAAGACGACCTGCACGACAGAGTAAAGAAGAGAACGCAGCAATGCATCGCCGTTTGCCTCTCCTCCCTTCCCTCTTCCTTCTCGTGCCCTCAGCAAGCTTAGCCTGTGCGAGCTTGAAACAGGCGTCCCTTCGGCTTTATCTCCCATTCCAACTAAAGGCCCCCGCAAGCGGGAGCCCTTAGAGCCGCGAATCGGGCGGGGAAGGCGGCAGTGGTGCTTGCAGTGGCAGTACGATGGATGGTGACTGGCACGAGTGGCTCCAGTGGCCGTCGAGAGGTATCATCGTTTCATCTCATATGGTCAGGTCCGCAATGCATGAAAAAGGAGCGGGCGTGTCAACTGCAAGGAGGAAGTCGGTAGGATTACACTTATGGAGACAGGCAGGCGAGTGAGACACGCGGTCAGTCCGAGAGTGCATGGAGTATGCGTGTGAAGTATGTGCGTGAAGGATGTATGTGCCCTCTCCCAACTCACACGAAGCCACAGCATCAGACACAATAATGCAGATTGAACCTAATGATATACCCACACTAATGCATGATGGGATGGATTGAAACATATCCATAGACATGCATGCATACAGGCAGGGACACACAGTCAATACGTCTAAGCTTGCAGCACTTCGACTGCTCCAATGACACGCTGCACCATTAATGGCTACAGACAGCGCCACTCATGTCATGTGAGGGCTCACTTCTCCTCCCATACCCATCCATACACACACACACACATCCATCCATCCAGGCAGGCAGGCAGGCGGGCAGTCGTACGCACCCATCGACGGACACGCAATACATCCATCGAAATACAGATGGGCACGATGAGATGCCCACACACGCACACACGCACACACTCTCTCTCTCTCTCTCTCTGTGTGTGTGTGTGTGTGTGTGTGTGCGTGTGTGGTGCAGACGACTGGCGGCCGACAAGTGCGAGCGCACCCTAGACGAGCATAACAAACACTTTGTGCTCACATACAATGGACACAAACGTCAGCTGCGCACACACGCGGAGGCGGTGGTCACTGGGTTGCGGGAACACCCACATACAGGTCGGTTGTGTGTGCGGCAGACGGTCGATACACATCTATTCACTCCATGTCAACGTCCTCCTGTCTGTCTGCTCTACCTTCCTCTTCGTACCTACCTTGTCGGAGGGATAGGCGGAACTCGTGACACAGATCCACAAAGACAAACACGATGCGAGATGTCCACGTCGAACACGATGCGTGATGTACTTCCTCTCACCCTCCACAAAGCTTGAAAAGCCACAGCATCAGACAGCCATGGACGAACACTGCTGCCGAGTTGTGTGTTGCTGTCACTGCATGTGATGTGAGAACCTGTCATGTACAAACCAACACCAACAACGTGTGCTGGAGTGGTCACCATGTTGTGCGTCGCTCAATGTGGCACACGACAGGGATGACGCACAGGCACCTTGACATCTGGAGCTGGACCTCCATCTTCATCTGCACAATATATCCACACACATACGTACCATTCCAGCAACATGCATCAGTTGCCTCCTTCCTAATGTGTTTGTTCTTGTGATGCCAGAAGAAACACCTTCTCTGCCTCTTCTTTCCACTTGTCATCTTGATCTTTACAGTCTTCGCTCTCGACGCTCAAGAGAGAGATCCGCAGCAAAGATCCGCAGCATGCAGCGGTTTCAAGGATTACCCTAGGCAGCCAAGCGGGAACGACCCATGGTGTCAACTCCCTCCCTTTTGTTCCGAGGTTTCAACGTGCTGGGTGAGTAGTGGGGGTGCCAGCACAGCACTGGTGTGGAATGACCCTTTGTTTTTTTAGTTCGACCGTGATCGACCGTTTTGTCTGACCGGACGCCTTCCGTCTGAGAAAGACGACGACCGTGCTGAAGTGTCAGCCCGATTCGCGGATTGTCAGCGCGGAGGCATTCCAGGTAGGCCGTCATGCAAGAGAAATCTGAAAAGATCTGACTGCAGATCATCTCTCTGCCTACGGCCCACTGAGGTGCGCATCCCACGTTGATCTGTCTGAGTGCAGGGCCTGGTGAGGGACGGTCCGACGTGCCAGCTGCTGTCGAGATACTGTTGATCGCACCAACTGCAGCATCACCATCTCTGAGGGACGCTTGCTCCGACCAGTTGATTGAGGTGCGAGAAGGGGAGAGAGGGAGGGACGAGGGCATCGGTGCGACGCTGTGTGTTGTTCTGTCTGCTTTGCAGACTGTGCGGCTACACGAAGATTCCGAGTCCAGATCTGCTATTTGATGCTGCGGCAGATTCATTCCTCGAGTGTCTGCTGTGGCAGATCCAGCTCTCTATCCCGAAAATTGAGTCACGAGGGGTGACGTGATGTGATGATGGAGCACCACCAAATCCGGCTGGTTTTGTACCTCCTCCTGGTTTCCCCGCTCGCCATCGTCTGTGGGCAGCACTCATCAGACACGGCGTCCCCATCTGTTGCGGCGGCACCGTCCCGCGCTCTCCAAGAGGACGGTGAAGACGATGAGGCTGGTTCGGCGTCGGCGGGTGGGCAGAGACTGGCCGGGGGGTCGGGTTACATGTTCCTCAACGGCCGCGATGACTGTCCCGAGTGTGAGGAGGACCGTGGTGCTTTGGTGGCGATAGCCAAGGCGCTGGGAATCCCCAGACCGCAGGAGGGCAAGTCGATATGCGAGCAGGCAGATCTGGGGTGGGCCTTCTGCATTAGGTGGGATGAGGTCGGCGACGACAATCCAAAGGAGGGGCTCATGCTGACATTCCGGAGGGGCTACGGAACGATTGTCAAGTAAGCAGGCGGGGGCCCGCGCTATTGAGCACGACACGATGCGTGGTTGTGCTGTTTGTTTGTCACACAAGGGGCTTTGATGACAAGGCGGTGACGTGTGGGGTCGATGAGGCGCAGATGCCGCCCGAGCTCTTCTCCCTCAAGACTATCATGGCTCTTTTCATCGAAGACTGCCACTTCATTGGGCAGATTCCTCCAGAAATCGGCAACTTCACGAACATGCGGTGGCTCTACCTCTCTCTACTCAGCAAGCTCGAAGGCGAGATGCCGCCCACCGTCACCAAGCTGACCGAACTCAGAGGGCTCATCCTCCGCAATCTGCGAATCCGATGGCGGCTCCCTGACGACTTTGGTACCAGGCTGCCGGAGCTGCGCAGTCTGGAGGCTTTCCAGTGCCCCAACCTGGAGGGGGGGCTGCCGGAGTCTATCGGATTGCTCTCCAAGCTCAATCTGCTGACGTTGGCACATCTGACATCGTTCGATGGGCCGCTTCCCCGCTCCTTCGACAACATGACCTCCCTGGAGCGCGTGTCGATATCTTGGACGCCCATCACCGGCACCCTGGACCCGTCTATAGCCTCAATGCAGAGCTTGGTGACCCTGCGGCTCAAGTACACCAGACTATTTGGCCCGCTCCCTCTGATTGAGAGCCAGCTGCCGAAGCTGAAGACTCTCGACCTGGAGGGCAACCAGTTGTCAGGCCCTTTGCCGCGGCTCAGCCAGTCCCCCGTCCTGTGGACTGTGAAGCTCCAGGGCAACCGCAACGTCACGGGGCACATTCCTCCCGAGTGGAAGAAGCTGACCAGCCTCGGACTCATTGAGCTGCAGGACACATCCCTTGAAGGCGGCATCCCCGAAGCCCTCTGTGACATCACGTCCTTGTACGACCTCAACATAGCTCGCGCGGGGCTTAAGGGCAGCATCCCGGAGTGCTTTGGGGACTTGACGAGCCTGACAACGCTGGACCTGAGCGGGAACGGCCTCGCTGGGAGGATTCCCGCGTCCCTGGGGAATCTGCGGTTACTGCGGTCGCTGAAGCTGGCAGATAACCAGCTCCAAGGCAGTATGCCCACGACTATCAACAACCTGGTGCGGTAATGGTGAAGACAGATGGAGGCAGATGGATTAATGGATGAATGAATAGATGAATGGCTTTGAATATATAGTATATTTTGTTGGTTGGGCTGCTTGTTTGGCTGTTCCTGCGTTTAGACTGCATTGGAGGAGCTCGACCTGAGAGGGAATCTCCTAGAGGGAGCCGTCCCGCCACTCACGAACCTCACAAATCTAAGGTACGTACCTCCGCCCCTCTCCCGATGAATGAATGAATGAATGAACCCATTAATAAACGCAGGTTCCTGGATGTTTCCTCAAATCGACTTGAAGACTTCGACGGCGAGCTGCCCTGCTGCGAGTTGAAGGAGGTGTCAGCCAGCCGTAACAGCCTCAAGGAGTTCTCACGGTCGTGGCGGTCTCTGGGGTCTGTGCAGAGCCTCAGGCTCGACCACAACCGGATCAAGGAGTGGGTCACTTGGGGCAGACACCCCGCCGACTGGTTCCGCAACGGCGACTTCGTCGTCGCTCAGCTGGCCAACTTGCGCGTCATGCTCGAGTCCATGGACCAGGGCCCCAATTGGGAGGAGCTCGCCTCCGTGGACATCAGCGAAAATCCTCTGCTAAAGGCGGACGTCAACGCCTTCTTCCTACCGTTTGCCTACGCTCCAAAGCTGCGGATCTTGCAGGCCAGCAACTGTGGGCTGACGGGGACTCTGGAGGAGGGAAGTCTTTGGGCGATCGACAAAGATAATGGTCTGCAGGAAGAGAGAGGCATGGATGACTGGATGAATGCATGAATGCATGTACCCTGTGTGCGTATCTGTGCTGTCAGACGGAGTGCCAACGTATTGGCAGGGCTTCCAGCAACTGAGCCGCTTGGAGCTCTCCGGCAATGCTATCCGCGCCATCAAGCTATCCCCTGCGGTCGTACTCAAGTCTCTCACCACCGTCTGGCTCAGCTCCAACGCACTTGTCTCCCTGGCAACCCCTGCTCACCCATCCGCCGCCCGCAACACACACTTTCTCGGCATCCCCATGCAATTCTCTGAGGTTCAGAACTCTTCGGACACTCCGAACCTCAGAGTCGGCGGGTGGTGGGGGAGAGTTGGCAGCCTGGACATCAGATTGGACGGCAACCCGCATCTTAGATTTGACGAGCGCATCGATGCAAGCCTGAACGTACAGGTGGGCCTGAAGGTCATCAGAGAACCATCACGGTGTTTGAATCTCTTTTTTGTTCTGCTCGTAGAGCTGTGAGGATCTGGAGAGCCTCGGGAATGTCGGACCCGACACATTGGTGCCAAACCCAGCTGGTAGGACGGCACACAAATGGGTATGATCACAAAGGACCGCCGCTGTGTCCTTCGTCGCAGCTTACATCCCGCAGAACTCCGCCTTCGAGTGCACGACTTTATGCAACACGTGGATAGTTGTCGACTAGAGTGTGGCTGAGCAGAAACTCTGTCGGTGCTTGCCTGGCTATGACGGCACCGGCACCAATTGCACAAAATGCCCTGCAGGCTCGTACAGCAACAGAGAAAATAGCACAGACACTGTAACGTGCAAACAATGCCCCGATGATGCGGGTGAGAGACATGATAGGCACATGACGATGACTCTTGCGACTTTCACTGTTGGTCTGTTGGTCTATGAATGTGTGTTGGTGCAGTTTCTGATGAAGGCTCAACCACATGTTTTTGCCGTCTTGGTCACGAAAAGCGGGGCGACGAACCGTGTGAGCCGTGTACCTCTGGATCTGTCGGCGTACGCAAGGGCGGCGATGACGGAAGTCGCGTCATATGGACCTGCCTGGACTGTTTCGACGGCTTGAACTGCCCTGTTCCCGTCAACTACAATGCGAGTGTGCTGCCGGGCTTCTACCAACTGACTGTCAAGCTGCAGTCGGGTGGCTCATTCGAGAACGCCACGCGAGAAGTGACGACGTAAAGTGTGAAAAGGGAGTGGCGCGACTGAGTAGATTCAGGCATGGTGTGTTCTATTCAGGTATGGCTCTGGCCTGACTTTGCTGCCCGTCGTCATGGGCTGTCCATTGCCGTCGTCCTGCAACGGCACCAACAAGACCAATGGACTCGACATATGCTCGGTAGGAGGCCAGTGCATGAATCTGAGAGTCGCCAGTCTTATGTTTGTCTGCATTATTTAATGTACGTCTGTGTCAGGAGGGGCATGAGGGGTTTGTGTGCAATCGGTGCAAGGCGGGGTTCTCGCGTCAGACGCCCCAGCAGCCGTGCACCGAATGTGCCTCCCTGTGGCTGATTGTTATCATCAACGTTCTGCTTGTGGCCGCCACTTTGATGGCCATATTCATCCTTACTGCACTTGCAGAGAGGTCAGAATGCAGCCGTATATTTGTAAAGGGCGCCAATCGATCGTTCTCTCTGCTTGTGTGTTTCTGTGTTCAGGGCGGCAGCATCACCGCGCGCCGAGGTGCCGTCCCAACTGACCAAAATCGGACTCTCACACATCACCGCTGTACGAGGAAAGGCAGAGAGAGACATGCACTCATCTTCCATCGCCTTTACGTTGTTATCGTGTGTGTGTGATCGTGTGTGTGTGTAGGTGTGTGGTTTGGCCTTCCTCGTGTTCGACAACTCCCTCTGGGGTGATCAGATATCCTCACTGATCGGCAGCGTCTTTGCCTGGGATGGAGGGCTTGCACAAAGCTACCAGATATTTGCCACTCATCTGGCTCACTGCTGTGCCCCTCATTGGTAAGCCCACACACACATTCTACAGGTCGACGATTTGTGGTGATTTCTGGCTCGTGTCGTGGTCGCAGCGAGTGGGCTTGCCAAAGCGCGGAATGCCTTCAAGTCAACGTGGCGCAGCGGCACCGACGAGTCGACCTCAGCGCCCCCATCCGTGACCAATGGCAAGGCAGACACAGCTACACACGGCCCTCGTCAGCGATCGGTCATCTTCCGAGAGGACTCACGAAGCGAGCCAGTGACGCCGCCATGCTGCCAGCATTCGTTAGCGGAGCCCCGCAAAAGCGGCCGATCGCGGCAATGGCTCGAGAACCGTGGCACAATGATGGTCATCATCCTCACCTTCATCCATCCCACCGTCACCAAGAACATGCTAGCCCTTCTGCGCTGTCGGCCTTACCCTTATGTGGACAATGTCATCCCTATCGCCTCAGGCGAGAGCGTCAGCCTGCTGCCGGTTGACCCGATGGATGACATGCGTCCCAGGATGGACCTGGACTCACATGTCCTCTGCGGGTCACCCGAGCACGGCCCATTCATGTGGATTGCCGTACTGGTCTACTGCTGTGGACACTAGCGCCTGTGGTGTGTGGCGTGGCGTTTCTGTCGCGGCACAGAGAGGGCCTGCAGGACTATCACATGCGTAGAAGGGTTGGCTTTCTGTATGCTGGGTATCGCAAAAGCTTCTACTATTGGGATTTTCTGCTGGCCATGAGACGTGTATTGGTGCTGCTCATCGCACAGCAGTTAACGGCTCAGCCCCGCCAACAGCTGCTGGGCTGGACGGTCGTCGCCGCTGTGTGTCTGGTGCTGCAGCTCGCCGTGTGGCCATTCGACCGAGGCAGCATGGACATTCTCAATTTGTCTGAGCTGCGTGGGTTACTGGTGTGGCTCATGTCGCTACTCATATTGCAGTTTGTTATGCTGTCTGAGGGGACCTCTCTGGAGCTGACGATCGGCCTCGTGGTGGTTGTCATTGTGGCCAATCTGATGCACTATGGCACCCTGGTGGCGCAGATATGTCGGTATGGCTTGCTGCAAGTGGGCTACAGATACGCGACCCTCACAGACCGCAAAAACGCTTTCGGTGGGCATAAATAGCACATGTACTTCTCTCTCCCATCTGCATGTTTCACTCATGTCGTCTATTCAGCTCGTATGATGTCGGGTTGTGTGACGGGCCCTTTGCTATCGTGGCTGATCCATAGGGAGGAGAACAGGCGGCGAGTCTCACCGAAGGTCATTTATGACTGGTCCAGCGCGACCCTCTCCATCGGCGACCCCTCTGCTGTAACAGGGCGGTGCCGTCCGTGTGTCGGCCGTCCGGTGTATCGTGTGGTGGCGGCCATACAGCTGACGTCAGCCGCCATGCAGGATGCTATCGAGAGACTCGAACTGACTCACGTCCCCAGCGACTTGTAAGCACATACACGCCATTGACGAGATGCTCGTCGATGCCTTCTCCTGTCTGTGTGTATGCGTGTCTGGTGGTTTGTCCAGCCATGAGTTTCTGTGGAGCCATGCATTCTTGGTGCAGAGCCTGCGGCAACAGCGAGTGGAGATGCACGGCCGTCGAAAGGGCGACGTGGTTGTCTATTTGCCAAAACCCGACGACAGCACCGCCATCGTGAGCAAGACAACAAGGGAGGATCGAATCAGGACGTCCGTGGCTGCATGTGTGTTTGCTCGGTTGGGCAGAAATTGCGGGACATGCGGACTGCCGACCTCTCTAAGGTCTTACATATTCAGTGCTCTAGCGAAGGTCAGCTCGCTTGCCCGATATCGACGCATACTTGACATACCGCTTCATGCTGCCGTGTCGCGGTGGTTCGTGCAGTGTCGACTCGATTGGAGGCCGGCAAGTTATCCGGTGATGGACCAAGTGGCGTGTCGGTCATCCAAACACAGCCGGCAGACAGGTTCGCCAACGGGCATTGAGACCGATCTCCCATGTCCTGTTTGCCTGCCTGGGTACTATGTCAGCGTTGAGGTGTCTGAGGGCATCACATTGCACGACCTCCAGGCCAACTTGTGCTATGTGGTGGACGAGCTCGTCAGCAGAGAGCAGATGCACCAGGCGGCCCTCAAGCGGACGGCGCGAGACAGTGACCTCGAGAAGGCCGAAACCGAGGCATCGACAGACCACCACCAGCAGCACAGCGGCGGCGGGTGGCGGGGGCTCTATGAGGCCTTCCGCAAGGCCAAACGAAGACTCATCGAGAAAGGCAGCCCGCTGGTCAGACAAAGACAGAGATACATTCACGGCCATGTGTGCCTATGAGAATGCTATTCTTATCTGTGCTGTCGTTCTGCTGCACGCAGGAAGCCATCCCGGAGGCTCTCGCGAGTCTGGCGCCCACAGTGATCGAGACCCCATGTGGCCATGCAACAGATGAGGTGCCCATAAGTGGTGGGTCGTCGCCCGTCAGCTCCACCAAATCGCGGCGAAGCGACGCCAACCCCGCCGCCCTGACGCCCCCCAGCCATCTCATGCGTGTCGATTGGCATCGGCTGAGCAGTGACGAGAAGGACAGCGTGGCGCTGTCGGTGTCGGCTGAGGCCGTCTATGATGCCGTGGCGGCCATGGAGACCAACACTGATGCTGGATGATGTTTTTTTGCCGGAGACGTCGCAGTTATCGTGTGTGTGTACTATATGTGGAGTCGCCGTGGGTATTTTTGTGTCGGGCCGTCCGTCATTCGTGCGTCGTCCGAAGGCAATCAATACACTCGATCTGCTGTGAGCGGACGAACACAAGGCAGACACGACGTGTAATCAACACGTCCATGTGTGCCTGGTGGCTGCGCGCACAATCGGATCGATATCGATCGGGTGTACTTTGTAGTGGGTGTGCAAATGCGCCGCTTTCTGTGGCTGGCTCGGTCATCTGAAAGCCTTACTTGGGCGCATACACACATTTGTGAGAGGCGAGTGCCTGGCTGGTAGAGGACAGAGAGAGTCACAAGTATGCGGTGCCGTGTAGTTTCGATTTGTGTGATTATTATGTGTCGGTGGTTGCTTAGTACAAACAGATAGGCCTTGAGTGGACGAATGACGAATCAATCACTGCATTTGGCGGTGTGTGGTAGTTTACGATCAAATAATCGCAAGTGCGGTCTCGTCATCATGTGCATGTCCATCGCGTGATGCATTTGTGTGTCTCGCGTGTGTGTCTCGTGCATACATGACTAGTGCGTGATAGAGGGCCACTCTACGAGAGCCAAAACACACGAAGGCATTCACGCGGACATCTGGTACATGCAATAGGTCTTGAATTTGCGAGTGTGCTGACCGATCGCAGCCACCCACGTTATCCGAAAAAGTGCCATTCATCCCCATTCACTGTCCATCTGCCTGCCCGCTATTGAGGCACAGCCAGCTAACGACTCGCTCACCCTCACTAACGCTGGCCCCACCGCCTGTGGGATTGGACTGGCCAGTTGTGGGCCTTAGCGATCTCAACATTGACAACACCACTCCCACCCCCCTCCCCATTCACTGTCGCATAGGTCTCCCGCAGAAACGCCAGCAGATCCCGCCCCCTCACGCGCACGAACAGCGTGGAGCAGACATTGCCTTCTACCGCGGGGTTCGACAGGCCATAACGGACCTCGATGCGGCCGCTGCCCATGTGCTTGGCCGCACGGAGCACACGCTGGCACTCGCGGTGGCCGAAAGTGTAGTACCGCACGACACACGGGAGGCCGTCGAAGCCATCGCCGATCAGCTCAGAGGGATTGAAGTCGGGAAGATGGTCCGCCGGGAGTTTGACATAGAGAGGGCTGCCCTGCGGGAGCCATGAGAAGGTCGATTGGCCGCCAGACGTGGCCTCTGCGTAATTGCCGATAGCGCGACCAGCCGTGTCCACGTACTGCCTGCCATAGCCGTTGCCGCCCAGCTTCGCACCGGCATTCCCCTCAAGCTGCAGTTGCACGCGGCTCAGCTGTTGGAAGGTGGTGTCAAGCATGACGCGCCCTCCCTCTTTTTTCATGTTCTTGTGTCTCGTCTTTGCCATGTCTGCAGTGTTCCCAGCCTTGAGGGCGGGGTGGTCTTCGTTGTTGACGCCGGCCCGGAAAGCGCCAAAGAGGTTGATGGCCTCGTGTGCGACCTTGTTGACCGCCCCTTTCATCGTCACCTGGATGCATCCACGCAGACAGACACACAGACACGCACATCTCCATCCATCTGCCCTCCCCGACACCGTCCATCCCCTCACCGTAATCTCCCGTCTTGCCGGCTTGGGGGCGTGACGGTTGTGACGATGCTCTCGTCGACAGGATGGAAGTTCTCCGAGCGCTCGATATGGCCGAGTACCCCGTTTTCGCCGACGAGGTTGTTCCAGCAGAATGGCGGGAAGTCGCTCCACATATCGCTGCTGGCCTCAGCCGTGACGCGAAGCGTGACACTGTCGGCGGCCTGCTGTTGCGGGGGGGCTAAGGTGACCTCCCCCTCCTCCATCTTGGCCTCATCAACCGACGAGTCCTTCTTCTCGCCCACTGACTGGACCACCATGGCCGCATCAACACCACCGCCCTTGGCAGCCTCCGACCCTCCCTGCCACATCCGAGAAGCGGCAGCGCCAGCCACCGATGCTGACGCACTGCTCTCGTTCATCTCCTGGTCGAAGAGACTGCTGTGGTCCATGTGTCCGTCGCCCAGCTCTGCGGGGGGCGGCGGCTCGACGGTATGCGGCATGTGCGGCGGCATGGCCATGGAGGGCGGCGTCCAGCCGTTATGCGAGTAGAAGCCAGCGATGTCGTGCGCGTGCAGAGGGCCGGGGTAGGGGGGCGGTGGCGGCTGTCCGTACGGCGCCATGGCAAAGTAGGGGTGATGCGACAGAGGAGGGTGCGGGATCGGCGCACTGTCGTCCTTCTTCGCCTCTTCCCACATGGCGTCAATGTCCTCTTCCTCGCCCTCGTCCTCGCCGTCGTCGTGTCGCGGCGCCACCTCGTTGGCCGAAGTGTCGGCGCCCTTCTTCTTGGCCGTCTTGCGTTTCTTCCTCTTCTTGAGCAGCGACACGCCACGCGCCAGGTCTCCTTCTCCTTGCCCCGGGCGCGGGCGCTTGGCTGCTGCTGGTGCTGCTGGCGGGGGTAGTGGGGGGACGCCGTTGTCAACCGCTGAGTGGATCACGAGACAGAATGGGCAAACGAGATGATGCCACGGATGTGTGTGTGTGTGTGTGTTGGCGTCACCTGCAAGCGGCATGACATCGCTATCGCGCGGCATAAATGGCGGCTGTGGGTCCGTCGGCTCATCTGTCGGCTCCTGCTTGATCGGCACTGGCCTGAAGACCGCCTGAATGCACACAGAGCGATGGGTGCAATCACTGCACAGACAGGTGTGCGCCTTTCTTACCGGTGCTGCCTGCTCTACTCCTGGCTCCGTCTTCACCGCAATCAGGGGCGCCACACCACGTCCAGCAGCGCTGGCACGCTCCTTCTGAGCATGACACATGGACCCACCCACACACACACACAGAGAGATCCACCCACCCACCGACCCCTGCATAAGTGTCGTGCTCTGACCTCCATCCGTCGTCGTTCTTTGCGCTTTCGGATCCTCTCGGCGGTCCCCGTCGCCTCGCCATGACCAAGTTCAGGCGCATCAACACGAGCAGCAGCCGTGGCAGCAGCAGGGGCCTCCTGCAGACCATCCCTCGCCCTCTGAGGCACATTGCGGGTCAGCTGCGAGTCACGCGGCATCTGCGGGAGCAGGTTCTCGCCCAACTGACGCAGTATGACCGCCTTGTGGAGACGGAACCATCGATCAAAGGACGTGCGGAAGAGCCGCTCGAAGCTCGGCTCGGCAGCGCGCTTCTTCAGCCAGTCGGTGGAGATGGTCGCGGTCTCGTTGAGTGCGAAGGTGACCTTGATAACGTGTGGGTGGGCCATTCCAGGCCTGAGCTCTCGTGGCTCGATGCGCCAGATGCCGGGGTCATTGTACTTGGCCACCTTGTAGGCGCCCTGGGCGTTGCTCGACGATGACACTGGACATACACACACGGCCGGCCATAGATAAGCACATGCTCGTGTGTATCTGCTGCCGTCACTCACCTTTGGAGCGACAGAAGTCGACGAACGTCTTGTAGATGGCCTGGCGGTGCGTCGTCTGCCACTCCTCCATGGTGATGAGCTTGATCACCGGACGAGGGGCAGCTGGGCGGCGCACAGGGGAGGCAGGGGCACCTGAAAGACCCACACACACGCACGCAGACAGACAGACAGACAGATGCATGTTTCTGTGCTTCTGCGGTGGGGCGTATGTGCGGCTTACCTTGGTCGGCAGGTGGCATGGTGTCTGGAGGAGGGGGCGTATTGTCGGGCACTTGATCACTACCCGCGCCACCCTGCGCACACACATTCACAAGACAATGAGAGAGATGCACACAGCCACTCTGCCACTCTGACGTACGTCATTCTCGCCCTCGTCAAGGGCGTCGTTGTGCTCATCCTCTTCGCCCTCGTTGTGAGGCTCTTCTTTGATGTGCACTGGCGCGTCGGCCTGAGCAATACACACAACACCCCACCCATGACACAGATGGTGCACGGAGCGGAGCGGTGTGTGGTCTCACTTGGTCCTGTGTGGTTGTGATGTCGATGAGCTCCTCCACGCCTCCCTGGCTGTGCATGTACACCCGCTCCGCCCCGTTCATCTGCCACACCTCAGTGTCACCGCCCGGGAGCCGCACCTCAACCTGCACACACCACACACACATACACACACACACAAGGATTGCAGCATTAATGTGTCTGTGTGTGTGAGAGGGACACCCACCCACCTGGCGAAACACATCCAGCTGGCACCAGTCCGGCACCTCCCCAGAGCCAGGCACCGCCCGCTCGCACCACCTCGCCCAACGCCAAGCGTGAAAGCCGTACTTCTCGGCGCTCAGCAGGCACCTCTGTATCTCACGCGCCACCCGCCACTTAAGCGCCTTGAACGCTTTGCCCGCCATCTGCTGCTGGTAGATGTCCTTGGCGATTCTGTGGCACTCTGCGAGAGACGGGATGGGTGTGGTGGTGCCGTCCGCCTCGGTCTTGACCCTCGGAAGGTGTGGGTGCCTGGAGGGGTGGCTGATGAGGTCGGATCGCATCGTGGCCAACACGTGGACGGTCGACTCCTCACCGGCAGGTGGCTGATGGGTGACACGCACGCAGAGAGGCATATGTGCGTCTGTGGGGTACATATTGTACTCATGTATGGGGGGTCACCATGTGTGCGTCGGTCTCTTGCTTGGCAACGGTGGGCACGATGTCCACATCTACCGGCGAATCGGGCGCTTCGCCAGCAGCGGCAGCACTAGCCTGACACTAGAGCACATATAGGGAGAGGGAGAGAGGGATGTCCGTCCGGTGGGTGCTCAACCATCTGTGTGCCTGCCTGTGTGTGTACCCCGTTCTGCGGCACTCGGTCCACAGCAGCAGCAGGACCGTCATCAGCTACAAACGCGCCATCCTGATATTGACACACATAGAAGTACGTGGGTATATTGACACATCCGCATGGTGCATTGTCCATCTTACTTGCTGGTCAGTGTCCTCATCGTGGCCTTGCTCGCCGGGAGACCCATCCGCATCCGCCTGAGATGAGAACAGCGAGGGAGTTTCAAACCTCATGTGTGTGTTGTCTCTGTTGTCATTGCGTCGCTCACCATGAGCTCATCAGCTACTTGCTCCTCCTCATTGTCCTCCATCACGGCATCTTCGCCCATCAAGTCACCCAACTACACACACACAATAAACAGACACTCATCAGATCCACGCACCCTGCCTGTGTGTCCCCCCTACCTCTCCATTCGCCCCATCGTAGCCATCCTCAGCGCCAGGCAGCCTCTCCCCGTGTTCCTCTCCCTCTGTCGGCTCCTTCTTGACCACATCGCCAGCCCCCTCCGCCCGCGGCTGCCCGCCCTCTGGCTTGGGCACCTTCCAGACATTCACCTCACATAGCCAGTCGTTGATCAGCGAATCGACATCGATGACGTCGGCGATGGCCGATGCTGGGCCGGCATCGTCGATCTGGAGGCCATCCTCTTGTAGCTCCAGTGCAGCAGCCTGTGCAGCAGCCTTACGCTTTTCGTCGAGCAGACCCGGAGGGGCGTGTTCATAATAAGGTGCTCGCTGAAAACATCAACCGCAGGGAGCAGACAACGACAGGTGTTCGTGTGTCGTGTGTGCGGTGGCGAGTGGGTGAAGAAGCAGAGGGGCGCTCACTTGAGCCGTCGCAGCAGGAGGAGGGCGCAGCGTGGGTACTCATTCCTCATGCAGAACCGATACTCGGCCTGCATGACACACATGATAGAAGAGAGCTAAAGGAGAGAGATGGTGTGCTCACTTTGATTTTCTAGCAGCCTTTCATGTCGAGAATCGCCTTCCCTGACCAAGCAACAGACACGCACCGATACATGCACACAGAGAGAGAGAGAGTGTGTGTGTGTGTGTGGTGCCGAACCATCACTCCCTTCGGCGGAGCTCCACCTCCCCTTGGCCCACAGGGCCTTGAGCTCCTCGAATTCCTCCTCCTCCTCTGTCGACAGCGAGGTGCCCTGCTCAAGCTGCTCCAGTTCGTCCAGTTTGTGTTGCGGCAGCTGCCTGAAGCGGATGGTGGTGTTGATTGGGGTGTTCTTGATGGGGTTGGTGAAGCGACGGGACCGCCGCGGCTCTGCGGCATCATTCTGGCCTCCCCCGCGGGCCCGCCCTCGCCCTCGCCCACTCATGGCTACGCTACTGCCGCACCGACATCACCAACATCATCCACTTTTCAGCTCGTCTTGACACATGCGTCCTGTATCAGTCGGCATCGTGCTCTATAAAGTGACAGATCGACATCTATCCGTCGAGAATTGGGGACGAAGCATCAACATACGTCGAAGCATCCTGCCACAGATCTCCCGTTTTGTCCGCGAGTTCCTGAACGCGTCAGTCAGCAACGCGCGTCCTCGCCCTCCTTCCGGGAGCTGCTTGACGCATTTTGCGGCAGCCGCCAAGCCCAGCGAGCGCCACACCACTCACGCAGCCGTCACTGCTGCCGGCGGACACCAGCACATTCGTCAGCGGCATGCGCTACGTCCACGCTGCCCTCAGCTCCAAGAGCCTGTGTGTGGTGGCCTTTGGCCCTCCTCACGACATCCACAATGCGCTGCAAGTGGTGCAGATGGGCAGCATCTCGCTCAAGGATGGCATCGAGGCTGGCGACATACTCATTGCTGACGTGAACTGTGAGCCCAAGGAGCTGCTGCTGGCACTCGGCGACAAACAGGAGCAGCTCCAAGTGTGCATGCACGACAACATGCTGGCCCTCAAGCACGTCGAGGAACTGCTGACCAAGGCGGGCACCGACACCGGCAGCCTGGACGTCAAGTGCGCCTTCGGTCACATGGAGCTCGGCAGGTAATGCAAAACTGCATGCATTGGTGGGGCGACGCATGGAGGCGTATGTGGGAGTGCGTGCGTGTGTGCTCAGCAACCTCCAGTGGCTGGACGACGGTGGTGTGGCGCTGGACATCTTCAAGGAGGGCTGCCTCTTCCCGCACACCAACACCAGCACCACCATCGACACCACTACCACCACGGCCACCGTGCTGGCGACGAAAACCAAGGACGGCTGGAAGGCTGAGCTCTCGGCGAGCGTGGCGCACCTCATCAAGGAGACCAACGAGGGCGGCTGGAGCATCAAGAGCCTCACGGTGACGGCTGACACACCCGACTTCAGCATCACCCTGATGCCCGGCGCTCCCTCCGCACCCCCGCCCTCGGGTGAGAAGAAACCTTTCAAGAAGGACAAGCCCGTCGACGTCATGGGCCTGATCGGCGAGGACGAGGAGGGCGAAAACACAGACGAGAACGAGTGAGGGAAGATGGGCGAGCAAGCAGATGGAGAGGGAGGAGAGACAGAGGGGAGGGCGACACAGACGAACGGACTGACGGCTTCTGTGTCGTCCGTGTGTACATATTTTCCTGCCTTATTCTGTTATGTCCTTTTCCAATCATCATTTTTGTCCAAACACAACCAAAAGACATCATGATAGACACTAAAGGCAACGTACGCCCACCCCCTCACACACACACGCACGCACGAGAGCACACCCGTAGCCAGAACGTCAGTATGGACACACACACACGGGCACAGCAACCACACAGGAGAGTCGACAGGCGAGGGCGAGGGCGGGGGAAGGTAGGTGTGTGTATTTGTATTTGTATTTGTATTTGTACATGGACATGTTATATACGGCAAGCGAGCTGTGTGCAGACAGACAGACAGACAGACAGACAGAAACTCACACAGCGGAAGGAAAGGAGACTTGACATTGGCGTGCTGACTGTCTGTCTGTAGTGTTTTGGAGCTCTCTGCCATAGCTACGATATGTCGTGACACATGACTGCCTTGTTGTCTTGTCATCTGAGCGATAGATGCACGTCACCTTCTCTTGCGAACCCAATCATGGACTTGTGGCCGCATTTAATGATTGAATCTTGATCATGACGCAACAGCAGTTTTCTGACCGACACACTCTCTCAAGCACAAGAGTGAGGAGGCATGTCAGATTCATCCATGGCACCATCCTCTGGGTGCAGGGTGGTGCAGACACGCCAAGAGAGAGACGTTGCTGCCATCATTAATTGGGATCCAGGAACGAAGAGAGGGGAAGCGGGAAGACAGGTAGAAGTACATCTCATCGACCAGACGACTTCTTGCTGGCAGAGACGCGTCAAGTTGACGAACGGGGAGAGCAGGCATGTCAAATCGACTCCCTCTATCTTTCGGTGGCTGAATGGCCAACTGGTGTTCGTACCAGTCAGCAGCAGCTGCCTGCAAGTGGCTTAGAATGCGTGCGTGTGGTGTCATCACAATAGGTCATCCGACGTCGTGTCAGTCTTTTTGTCTTACCATAACCGTCTGTGTCTCTCCTGAACATCCAGCTGACTGACTGGCACATCTCAAGTTCACTCGGCGATAGTTGCATATCACACAAGCGCCCATCGAAAGGCCAGGCAGCCAGCCGCCACGATGCCCATCCAAGTTCACTCGTCACAACAACAAGTGATGCGACAAAGCGCCCCGTGGAAGGACACTGGCAGCACGACTCCATGCGGCGACCCTCCGCCTTCCGCGTCCAACTATCCACCCTCACACACCCACACTACAGCCACTGCCTCCCTTCCTCCCTCCCTCCCTCCCTCCTCCATCTGTCTGCCTGTAGCCCATGTCTCGCCGCCTGACTGACCTTTCCGCCGTTCACGCAATGACCGAGTGTGTCACCAATGCGCCCGTCGGAAGGCCAGCCAGCCAGCCGCCGCAAGTGACCATTCAGAGTTCACGCGCTGCATCAGCGGATGATGCAGCAGGCGGCCCCTGAATGCCACTGCGGCAAGACCAAGCAAAGAATTCTCCTCTCACAATACACGACAGACAATCCAAACGACTCCACCACTCCACCACCTCAAAAATCCCTCCCAAGAGCAAAGTTCACAATCTCCCACTCCTTCAACTCGCTCTTGAACTCCTCCACCACTGTCCAGCCATCCTCTTCACTGATCGTATACTTCATCTGCTCTTCACTCTTTGCACGAAAAGGATTCCACTTCCAGAGGCCCCGCCATCTGCTTGTGTGCCGAGATTCGGAAGGTGGTCCTTTCTGGTACTGGCAAGGTGTGTCAGCATCTGCCGTGGGGCTGCCCTTGTCGGCTGTTGGGGCTGGTAGTGCTGAGACCTCCTCTTCTTCCCGCTTCTCTGCCCCTTCAGCCCCAATGGCTTTTTCCAGCACATTGCCGATCCGCCTGACTGACGCCTCCAATGATGGGCGCTTCCATGGCTCGGCGTCCAATGCCTCGTAGGCAAGTTGACCTAGATCTTGCCCAATTGGGCGAGCGAAGGTCAGGTCAGTTTCGGATCGCAGAGCAAGAGGCGGTATCATCCATGGCAGAGATTTGGGGGTGGCTGTGCCGTTGTCGCTGTCGAAGAGGAATTGTCGCCGGTTTTCGAAGTTCAGGGCGCCCTTGACCTCCTCTCTGACCTTCTTGAATGAGTAGGCCACTGTCATGTCCTCGCCAGCGGACGCGCTTTCCTCTTTCTTCTTCTCCCACTCCTCCCTCATGCGCTCGACATAGATGTCCTCATATGGGTCCCCAGACACAAGATGCCGCAGCATCTGGCCAAGCGCAAAGGTCACCGCCGTGTCTCGCAGATAAATCGCCTTCGGCTGTCCCTCCTCCAGCTCGACAACACCTCGCCCCGCCAACTTTTCCACCGCTGTCCAATACAGCCTCTTGAGCTGCTCGATCTCCTCCTTCTCGCTCTCCCTCCCTGCTGGGTTGAGGCCCAGCATCTCCTGCCATATCTCGCCCGTCGTGTCCTCGATGCACCCGCTCATGAACACCACCGCCATCTCTGGCACAATGCAGTTGTAGGCAAAAGCAGGTATCTTCAGACTCTTGAGCTGCTCCTCGTACTCCAGTGGCAGCCTCACAGTGACGCCCTCTTCGTCACCGTCGCCTGGCATCATGCTCCCCACATCCAGGAAGGTGGCGCCGCTGCATGGGAGGATGGCGGGGAGGGGAGAGGGCAGAGGCGACGGCGGTTGTGGAGAGGCCGTGCTGCCGGCTTCTTGCCCTTCAAGCCCCTGCAGCAGCGCGTCGCACTTGATCTCGACGTCGTTGGTGAAGTTGTCGATTCCCAGCCTTTTCATCGCAGTTGCGGCACGCAAATGGGCAAGCCCAAAGTGGTATACGCCTCGCAACCCGATAATCATGTCTTTCTTGATCGCTGCGATGTCAGTGGCTGGGAGGGGAGGCCGGTGGCGGCGGTATATCGCGCCAAAATTGAAGCGGGCGACCAAGTTGTAGATGTCCACATACGTGCCATCCAATCCATCGCCGCCGACTGCAAAACACACGTTGAAATAAGACACACCGATCAGTGACAGTTGAGACGTGAATGACGGATTTTTCCGCTATGTCTTACTCTGCAACCATGGCAGTACGAGGACGAGACAATCATGTGTCTCCTGCTGCCCTTCCCCGTTGGTGGTTGTGATGCTGGCAGGCTTCCTGCCGCCACGGAAGCAAACCGACTTCACAAACGGCCACTCATCGGCGGAGAGCGTGCCGGCTGTTTCTGCCTCCCGCAGCGTTTTGGCGGCCGCTATCAGGCACTTGTTTTCGGCGATAAGGGCTGACATCTGGTTGCTGCTCTCCTTCAGCACAACTTTGAAGGCGGCGTCGAGTGTTTGGCAGTTCTCCTTGGTGTATTGGCCGCGAAAGATGTGGGAGAAACCACTGTCTTTGATTTTGGTGAGGGAGAGCTGCTTCTCAACCTCTTGCTTCTCCGGATCTTTGAAGATCGTGAGGACGGCGGGGCTTGTCATCCTGGTGGGTGAGAGAGAGGCAGGTGCGAGAGGGGGACTCGACACTCACGGGGCTGCCGCTCGTGAGTCGTGACGCAGAGACTGGGGGCTACATGCGCATGCCCCCTCTGCATGCGCATGCCCTCTGCCGCAAATTTCCTCACCAGACGGACAGAGAGAGTTACGACAGCATTCCTGTCTGTTTCTCTGTCTGCCTCTTTCTGGCCAGGGCCGCAGATGACAGGCAGCGATGGATGTGATCAGAGTGGGCATCGCGTGGGGGTTGGTGTTGGCAGACTGCCTGCTTGTGTGTGAATGTGTTGTGGGTGTGGGTGTGACGGACTTTCATAACAGCGGTATGCAAGGGGATAATTCTCTCTCGCCAGACACATCCAGCACGCCGCACAGTGCACAGTCAGTCAGCCTTCCAGAGTCCATCGACATGCTAAGGCGAACACATCGATACACTCCAGCTACCCATGCCCACGACGCTCTGCCCGCCCTCCCTCGACCGACCCACCATCACACCAGTGAGTACATGGCAGGCGCCATGGGATGAAGGACGAGAGAGAGAGAGAGAGAGAGAGGCAAGAGCGAGTGAGACAGAGTCAGCCGACCTGTATGTACAAGAGTCTGTCTTCCCTCCCTCCCTCCCTCCCTCCCTGCCCGGCCGCCTCCCCGCCACTCTCACTTGGCTGCCAATTTGAGCGTAAGGGAAGCTGAGTATTCATTACACTCCCTCTCCTTGACAGTGTAGTGTGGTGCGGCCTGCTCGGCGCACTCATCCGCAAACGAGTGGAGGTCGTCTAGCCGATCATCCTCACTTTCTCCCTCCAGCTCATTCTCATCCAACCATGCCTCCAACTCGACATGTGCCGGTCGCAGAACTAGGGCTAGCTTAATGGAGTCAGTCACGCCTGCCTTAGAGGACAAGCCACCACAAACCAGGCGGTATATGTGAGGGCAGCCGACGCCCCGTATGGCAGGGATGTCCGCCGGCCTGTCGCACACGAGGGGGTCTTCGCCCTCCTCGATCTCTACCTTATCTAGCTGGTCTACGGACAGGTGGCAGAGAAACTCGTATGCGACAGTGAGGCTAGACAGAGAGCTGAAGGTGACACTCTTCAGCGACCTCAGCCCGCCCAAAAACGGCGTGTGTTTGCTGCGGGCGGCACGCATGTCAGCCAAGGACAGCGAGTCAGCCTCGACAGCGGGAAAGGGGCCGCTCCTCTCTCCCTTCCTCTCGGCCAGCCACTCGGGGATGATGTGGGCCACAGGTGAGGCACTCGCGGTCGCCTTGAAGTCGACGATGAGCGTCTTGGCCTTGGTGAAAATCAGCTCGTCACGCCACGACTTGTGCAGCGGGGTGTTGCCGAGCCCCAACTTGACCTACATTCACCCACACCGATACGCGAATACATGTTGCCCTCTCGCTTTTCTTGTCTGTACCGTTCCTTACATTGGTCGCATTGGCCGCCAGCCGCGTGGCGATCTGTCCGTAGAGGCCGTCTGGTGCAGGGAGGGCAGTGGCAGCGCCGCTGCTGCACTCGACGAGCAGCGGCCTGCCGGCTGGCCGCCAATCGAGCTTGCAATTGACGGTGGCTGCCCACCTACGGAAGGCCTCTAAGTCGGGAGCCCCCTGCTGGCCGTAGTCACCACCGATCGACGCGTTGACCACGACAAAGCCCAGCTTCTTGCGCAAATCTGTAGTCCAGCAGGGACACAGAGGATATGAGTATGTTGCGTATGAGAGCGTAAAGATGCGGGTGCTCGTGGGTTTCTTGCGTGCCCATTTTCTCTGGTGTGCTGCTCCATTGCTTGCTGAGGGCGGCTTTGAGCTGATTAAGGCAGCCGAAGTGGCTGGGGATGTCGATCTTCAGGCCGGTGATGGTGATGAGGTTGGGGCAGCGACCCAGGGCGGCGGTGAAGAAGGCCCACTGGCCGTCGTCGACTTCGATGCGGTCGCCCTCCAGCCGCTCGATCATGGGCGATGTGGTGAGGATGGACTCGAAGGATGGGACTAGCACGCTGTCAAACTCGAAGAAGCGCACACTCAGTCGGAGGGTGGTGAGGGCTGGAAAGACCCACCGACGCCTCCTGCAGATAAACACACATGACATGTCGATCATAGGGATGAGTGGATGCATCGGTCGCCTCCACTTGCCTTTGGACACACCTGATGTGTTCGATGGTGCTTCCGTTGTGGATGTGGAGGCATGTCACTTTGGGGAACACCACCACGTCGCGGGTAGAAGCGCGAAGCTCCTGTGGATAGTCGGCGATGTCCAGCGTGAGCTTCTCGAGTGTCGTCGTGCATGCCTCCACACACTTCGACAACACGAAACGCGGCATCGCGTCCGATGCCCGCACAGACGCAGTCTTGACCTTGGAATGCACACACACACACACGACGGGTCGCGTCAAAGCATGTGTGTGTCACCCATGTGCCCACGTCACCTCTCCCTCTCACCATGCGCCTCATCTGCTGGTTCACGTCCCGCATCCTTCTGTAGCTATCCTCCTCGTCCAACGTCACGCTAAAGTTGCGGAACATACCGGACGTTTCGTCGGTGGCCATCGTGCGGATCTCCTTGTCGACTTTGGACAGACGTATTGCCGTCTTGGTGGTGACGAAGGAGCCCATGTAGGCAAACACGTCCATGGGCAGACCCGACAGACACGGATCGCCGTACTCCTTCTGACACACACAATTAAGCATTACACGTCGAAAGTGCGTGCAGAGATGGTCATATCTCTCGTGTGTCACCGTTGGCTCGGTGCTCTGCTGCTGTGTCGCTGCTGCAGCACCGCCCACATCCATCGCCTCACCTGAAAGCACCACACAAGACAACACAAGACAACAGGGCCATCAAGATGCGGTCGATCTATCAGTGTGTGTATGCGTGTGTGGTTGGTGTACCTCCAGCAGCGGCAGCATCAGCCGCTTCGATAGCTACACATCTACGTTTGCCCTCGTCACGACCAGGCACCTGGATGGACATCAAACCACACCACACAAGCAGCAAAGATGCCATCACCATGAGCTGGTAGTGCATTGCATGTCTGTGTGTGCGTACCGCCATGGATCGGTGTGGTTTGGTGACGGTCTTATTCGACGTCACAGCACCGCCCACCCCGCTGTAGTTGACATTGCAACACCAACGGAAACCCTTGCCGCCAACGCGCTGACATGGACACACGTAAAGGAGGTTGAGCGGCCAGTGTGAGCCATTCATTCCCAGCGGTCATCCCACTCTTACCGCCAACTTTTTGGTGAGGGCCGAGTGGGCGTCGGTGAGAGCGTTCCGAATGGCTGCCAGACTGTCAGCCAGCGACACACCAGCCTGCACCGACAGGGGCATTAAGATCAACTGAGTGCTGCTGCTCGGCTATGTGGTCTTTCGTGCGGACCTGCGTGGTGCTGTCGGTTTGTAAGGCTATGACGTGATCTGCCCGCCCAGCATCACAGGCAAGCTGCAAGGCAACCTGTGAGCCAGAACCAACAACACAGTGACGTCATCCCTGCTGCGTGTCTGGAGCTCTCTCTCCGCCCACCGAATGTATCTGCTGCAAAAGATCACGAGAAGAGCTCCCACCGCCACCTTGCCCAGCTGCAGCACGTCGTCAGGACACACAGGGCATGACGCACACAAGGGGCTGTCCATCAGGCGTGTACGGTGCTGACCTGCAGCAGAGGCGGCCGGGCCGTCGCTACTTGTGTCCATGAATTAACAGATCACCGTCCCATCTGCACGGAAAAGAAGAGAGAGATGCAGGTGTTGGCGGTGTGTTGGTGCGCCGTGCTGCTCACGCTTTGCAGGTGAGAGAGGAGTGGAGGCTGCTTCGTTGCCGAGTGGAGCCGCTCTGCATCAGACATCATGTGACAAACATCAAACAGACACAGCCATTTGCTTTCAAACGTTGTTTTCTTTGTTTCTCGTCTGCCCTCTCTGCCTGTCTTTCATTCGGCTGTCTGCTTGCTTTTCTCAGCCTGTCTGTTTGCTCGCCTGTTTGGTTGATGGTCAGCCGCATCGTCTTGGGTCAGATCTTGCGAATTTCCTGCAGATGCGTCATCTGCGAGGTTCCACTGCATCTTTTTCGTCAGTCGTGAATCGGAGACGAAACCCCGCAAACCCTCAATTCTTGTGCCCCTTCCGATGATTGCCCTTCTCAGCCGCACAGTTTTCACTGCCAGCTGTGTTCATCGCCACTTGGCTGGGAATGAGGGCCATCTCCGTCTGCGGGCATCGTCGATCCGAGAGGGCGCAGCGGGTCAGGGAGCTTTTCACTGAAGGCGGAGGAGGACCTGGGAGCAATTCGCCGATTTATGGGCAGCTCGGTGAGGCCATCGCATCGTGGCAGCAGCAGACATCACTCCGGAGGCAAAGGTGCGCATGGATGGAGTGGGTGTGGACGGATGTGAGCACCGCAGCACATGGCTGTCGATGGTGCACTCAGGTCCACAGGTGGGCCCGGTCTGCCCGGCGGTAGATAGAACCAAGTACACCAACACATAAGACGACACAGGTACACCGTCAACACACATGCACCCATACGAATGGCCGCACGTCCCTCAACGCAGCAGAAAGGCAGTCGCTGTCTGTGTGTTGCGTGGTCAGGTCCGTGGTGGATTGACATGCAGCCGCAGCAGCCCGTGCCGCAGTATTGTTTTTGCTGTTGGGCGTCACAGGGGACCTGCCCGCACACACGAGCGGTGGTACAGGGGAGGCTGGAGCGGGTGATCGATCTGCATTGACACGCATTCACGTGCACACGATGTTTTTGTGTTTGCCTGATTGTTCATCAATAGCCGACGAGGCACTGCAGCATTGGTGGCTGCAGGAAGAAGAGCAGAAGGAGGCTGAGGGTGCTGCGGCTGCCGTCCCTCCTCCCCCGGCCCCACAGTCTGCAGCCCCGCCTCAGCCATCCTTCGCGCAACCCCAACCCCGTCGGCGCTGTGCACAGGGTGATAGCCCCCCCTTTGGTTCTTTCCCCCAGTGTCCTTGATCAAGGACCTTCGAGAAGTGGCTGACATCAGCCACGAGTACAACATCGGTAAACTGATTCACGAGAGGCGCATCGATGAGGAGTAAGCGACAAGCACACCAAGATCCCATTGGTCCCCTCATTGCTGACTATCGGTCGTGGTGGTGCGTGTGTTCAGGCTCATCTCAGCCGTGCACGAGGCCACGGACACCAGGACGGGCCGGGCGTGCATCGTCAAGAAGGTGGCATGGCGGCACTGGACGTGAGCAGGAGAAAAGATCTAGTGTGTTTTCCCGACTGCATTGTATGCCCTCTTGCTTGTTCTGCCTGTCATTCACAGCGGCGAGATGACCGAGGCGTACGGCCTGCTGCGCGACGTCACCAACCACCCACATCTCGCCAGAGTCATCGACGTCGTCAGCGAGCCGGGGCCTGATTATGCTGCGGGTGGGTGGGTGTATGTGGCCATGGAGAGGTGCGACGGGGTCGACCTTCCCAAGTGGAGAGAGGAGCACCACATATTCCACAGCACCTGCCGGCAGCTCATCAAACAGCTGCTCCTGGCCGTCCGCCACCTTCACGCAAGTCAGGTGGGTACCGTATTCAATAAGAAATGCCATTCGCTTGCCTGTGTGTGAGATGCGTGTGATGTGTGGATGCGTCCTTCTTGAACTCAGCTGGTCCACGGGGACATCAAGGCCGAAAACTGCATATTCGACGGGAGGCAGCTGAAGGTCATCGACTACGACACGTGCATCACCAGAAGAGGGCTGCTGGAGCTAGCAGGGGGGAACATCGTTGACCGAGGAGGCACCGTCGAGTACACGGTGATCGTATCGCACATGAGGGCGACAAGAGATCTCTGGGATTGAGCCTTTCTCTCTCTCTGTGTGTGTGTACTGCCGTGTGGTGTGCAAGCAGGCCCCGGAGACAGTCATAAGCGGCCAGTCTGAAGAGACTGATACGTGGGCGGTTGGTGGCCTCGTGTAAGCACACCCGCAGTCCATCCATATGACAAATGTGTAGGTCGATTGTCGGCATCATTGTGTGTGGAGGTACGTGTTGCTATACAACAAGTTTTCCCCTTCCACCTCGACGAGTCGATGGACCTGTTCGCCCGTCGCGTCGCGATAGATGCGGTACGCGTTAACAGAGGACTGATACACCAGTGTGATGGATGGGCTGTTTTTCTCAGGACCCTCCGAACCTTGATGATTGTCTGCCAGAGGGATGGGAGGGCGCCGTCGACCTGACCAAGAAGCTGCAGACGTTCCAATGGGACGACCGACCATCCGGTAGGTGATCGATCTGCATGCACACGCATTCACGTGCACACGATGTTTTCATGTTTGGCTGATTGTGCATCAATAGCCGACGAGGCACTGCAGCATTGGTGGCGGCAGGAAGAAGAGCAGAAGGAGGCTGAGGGTGCTGCGGCTGCCTTCCCTCCTCCCCCCGCCCCACAGTCTGCAGCCCCCACATCCCGTCGGCCATTCGTCCGCACACACTATGTCGGCCCCCCTCTCTACACGCACATCGCCCCTCCTCCCTCGGAGCACACCAGCGTCCTCCTGCCTTGCCCCTGCCCCTCAGCCCCACGGCCTGCTCGCGGCTACCACGTCGAGACACATACGAAGGTGCCCGATGGGACGGGGGGATGGCGGGTGGTTCAAGTCGAGCGGCACGTGCCGCCGAGGCCGGTGTGGGTGTACACCCACCACGACGGGAGGAAGGCGGTCGACTGGTCTGGCGAGACCCAAGACAAGAGGAGGGCAAGCTGCGGCTGGAGCATCTGCGACTAGTGCATGTGGCGTTGAGAATAGCTGGTGGTGGGGGGCCGGAATGCACGGCCGTCGACCACCCATCCAGAGACACAGAGGGAAATGGCAAGGAGCAAAGGCCGGCAAGTTCTCAGTGCCTTTTTATGCACAACGCCGGCCCGGTGTGTGATTTGGAGCCAGCCCTCAGTCATCGCTGTGTACATTTTATATTTGTTTGACTGCTGCCACTCGACTCACAAGCTACCTGGTTCTCGTCGTTGGGTTAGATTCTGTCCGACTGGCGAAGATTGTGCTGTTGTCAGGGTTGTGTGACATGTTCAGTGTGTTCAACCACCATGTCGTGAGTCACCGCCTGAGTGCCCGGAGACACCCGCCACCATACTGCGCCCGTGCAGACACCTCCCCATTCTCCCATGCAGGGTAGGCACAGTTGAAAGAACGTCGCCTCGCGGGCCCATCGCACACAGCCCCACACAGCAGTCAGTTATAGCACGTCAAGCAATGTCTCTGTCTGTGTGTATGTCCGGATGAAGGAATGAACATCTGTGTATACCTACGACGAGGGAAGGGCTCTCGGCAAAAACACGTCGCCGTCCGTGCAGCATAGTGCGTGCATCGAACTGAAAGCCTACCAGCCCTGCCTTCCAATGTACCCATCACACATCCCCCCTCCCACCCCCCCACTCGCCCTCCCCTCTCTGTCTTTGAGTACTTACATTGCAGCACAGATGGATGAGCCAAAAGCCAAAAACGATATACTGCACACACCTTAGCAGGTGAGCAGCAGGAAGACAAATCGCCCTTCCCTCCCTCCCTCCCCACCCACCCCAGCCCCAGGCAGCCGTGAGCATCAAACAACACACACACACGCACAGAAAAGCCACTCCTTCAATCCTCCATGGATGAACAGCTGCGGGGATTGAGTGAGGGAGAAATGGGCGCGTCAGTAGACTGCTCTCAATGCATGTGCCAGCAGTGTCTGTGCGTCCATGCCCGCAGCACCCACGCAAACAGCACCCACCCGAACAGCACCCACCCGACAGAAAACCCACAGACAGCATCGACAGCCAGGCAGCCAAGAGCAGCCAGGGCAGCCGGCGATCCATCGCATCCAATGTCCACAGCCGCATTTGTTTGTCAGTGAGGACATGGACACACACGTGTGCGCGCACACACGGGACTACTAATTACGGCACCCACATTGTACGCAGCGAAGAGAGAGAGAGCGAGAGGGACGGAAGTAGCGTAGAAAGCGTATGGGAGGCTGGCAGAAAGCGCCTCTCCATGAGTAGATGGACATGTTATGAGGAAATACGAAAAACGCATTCACGACAAATGCAGTGCAATGCAGTGCAATGGCACAGACAAACACACCAACACCAACACCAACAGGAGGACCAGAAAAGACACCAGCACAAATCCTCTTGTGTGGCTTGAGCACCGAAGCCAACCCCCATGCAATCTCACCACACAGACACGCAGGTGCACTCACTGTCCGAGACAGGCGTGACCGTCTTCACGCTCGCCTTGCCTCCCGTCACCAATGCGTGCTTGGCGAGAGTGGTGCAACGGAGCGGTGAAGTGACACCGCACCATTGGCCCACGGTCGCTGGAGACGAACTGGTGACGGGAGCACAGCGGACGGATTGAGAATGACAACCAGTTGGGGCAGGAGCCAGCCCAATCGCCCCTCAGGCATGGTCCCCACAGGCAGCCAGCAAATACCAAGGCATATCGGCGGTGCAGAAGAAAGTTGATATATTGGATAAGTAGATGGGTGGGCTGATAGAAACACCAGTCAATACACATTGGCAGCCAGCAGTGTCAGCCAAGCCAGACAGACAGACAGACGGAGAGGTAGTGTGAGGGTTATGTTAAATGCATGAACCAATGTATCACTCAGCCATGCATCCATCCAGCCAGCCATGCATCCGCGTGTGTGTTCCTTCCTCCTTTGCCACTGCGTACGCGAGAAAGTTAATCTCCAGCAATTGTACGCCACAGGCACATGTCGACGGATGAAGACACCTTACAGAGCATACATCACACCAACAGAGATCGGGGCAGCACAGAAAAGCCATTCGCCATTCCATCCATCCATCCCGCAGGCAAACACACACATAGACATCTGCACAAACACACAGGAGTGGGCGCAGTGGGCAGTGGGGTGGGTGGCAGCCATCCTTTCAGCAGCCATTCATCCAACCAGTATACGGGTGCTGTGCCTCTCACGCACATTCGCGAGAGCACCCGTCCACCAATGTCAGTCAGTCATTGTGCAAAACATCTCTCCACCCATACCATCATACCATCAGCAGCGGTACCTACCGTCCACACACGCACAACCCTCACCCAGCAGCACGCCACAAAGCACACCACAAAGCACACCACAACACACCACACGACGCCAAAAACGCATTGCCATGCAGTACCTATGCACGCAGCAGCCAGCCAGCTGCCTCACCTCACGAGCAGCCACACACACAGAGAGGTGAGTGAGTCACACACTGAAGAAAACCTCCTCGTGCACCTGCCTGAGCATCTCCCAGTCCGCCAGGCTGTTCGACGCACGCCACACGCCCCGCCTTTGCCGGGCCACGACGGCAGCCTCATCCACGCCATCACTCGCAGTCGGGGAGGAGGGCACCAACGGGGAGGACGGCATTGTCGGGGAAGACAACACCGTCGGTGAGGACGGCACCGTCGTCAGTAAGCTCTGCTCTTCGCTGCCAGATGACTCGTTGCAACATCGGCTGGACAAGCTCGATGGCGATCGGATGTCGGCCGTCTTGAGTGCGTGGAAGGCGTTGAGTGAGAGGAACCGCGCCCGAATCTGCGCGGGGTCGAGGGTGATGTTGTGGGAGTGGGGGGCGTCCTTCTTGAAGGGGTGTGGGTGCGCCTGGAAGGCGCCGTAGTTCTTGATGCACCCGCCGACACAGTCGCAGTTGCCCCCCAGCCACAGCGGCAGGTCCTGCAGACAAGAAAGGGATGCAGGTGGCCTCCTCTCTCTATGCGACACACGAGCCAGACAACCGAACTGTGTGTGTGTGTGGGTACCTCTGGATCGACCAGCTCCAGGATGGGGTCGAAGACCGCAATGCTCCCAAACCCACTCGCGCAGTCTTGCTGTTGCTGTTGGTGCTGCTGCGGCGCGCATGAAGGGCTGACGGGCGGCTGCCGATGATGTGCACTGCTGTGCTTTGTGGGTCTGGATGGGAGTGTGGTGTCCGACTTGCAGGTCGTGGGGGTGGGGATGTCGATGGGCGGTGAGGGGGGGAGGAAGACGAACTTGTCGCAGATGGCCTTGCTCAGGAACATGCGGCAGAAGTTCCATAGCGTGCGGATCCAAAACGGCGGGTTACACACGACCTGACAGACAGTCGGCATTCGACACACACAGCGACATAGAGAGGGAGGGAGGGGAGGGAGGGAGGGAGGGAGGGGGTGTGGGAGGGTGAGCGTACCACTTGTCCGACGAGCAGCGGGTGCAGCCACTGGCCTGTCGCAACGACGTCATCAAACACCAACAGCTGCCGCGCGAACCACTGGTCGATGTTGCGCATCGCGAAATGACCTGTCGGCACACACGAACACACACACACACATGGTATATACACACTTGTGCGTGTCTTGTCGTGTCGTGTGTGAGGGCGTCCGTCTTACTGAGGTCGATCATGAAAGACCCGGAGTGCATCTTGTCGGTGGCCCCTTCGGTCAGGCCCCACCAGAACTGACTCTCCATGCTCCACAGAAACATATTCCGCAGCTCTGGCGAAAGAGAACCACAAAGTGCACACCATCCCTCTGTGTGTGTGTGTGTGTGTGACCACTCGCCCACCTGCGTGTGTGAGCTTCGAATGCACCGCCTGCACGGTGCTCAGCCCTGCCAAAATACACACACAGACGCAGGAATCAGACAGATACGCACACACACAGAGAGAGAGAGAGAGACCAAAAATTTTCCCTCTGTACGGGCGTCTCTGTGTGTGGCTGCTGTACCTAGCCTGAGCAGCAGTAGGATGTTGTGCGGTCTGCGTCTGTTGGGGTGGAGCCCGACGGCAAAGTACTGCGCCACCACAGCGGCCTTCTCCGGCGACATGGGGGGCGGCACGCCGTCCAGCGCAGCCTGCGACAGTGCAAGATTCATACCCCAATGCACCGCTGGCTGATGGTCTCTGATCGTCTGTCTGTGTCGTCTTGACCTTGACGATATCTCTGTTGTCGTTCCGCCACTTCATCGCCTTCTCCATCGCATTGGCTGCAACCCCCCACACACAAACACACACACAAGCACGTGCAGGTGGGATGGGGTGGTGCTTGAGTGTTTCGGCGTGTACGGACCCGCTTTCTGTGCGCTGGGGAACTGCAGCAAATACCTGACCACCACCCTGTCGTCGAGAATGCTGAAGGGTAGTAGACCCTCCGGCAGCTTCGGTAGACACGACTTGCCGCGCCGCTGCAGCAGACACCGCACCTCATCTATTCCGTCGCGGTGCCTTTCTATCAGGGCAGCATAATCTCTTGGCATCTCCAGCAGAGGCAAGCAGGGACTAGCCACAAAACTTACCGACCTCACCACCATCTTGTCGTGTTGCTGCACTTGTCGGGGGGGCTCTGTGGTTGGCTGCTTTGCAGCAGAAAACTTGGAGGTGCGCCGCGCCGCGTCCTCCACGACCGCACGACGAATGGACGAAGGAACCCCCTGGCGCCGCGGCCGACTGGTCGGGAGAGGGGAAGCGCAAAGGTGCGCTGGGCGACGTCGCCGCCGCTCACAGCCGTGATGTGGGGCTTCTTGTGACGCGGCGACGACGGCTTGGGTGACGACGGTGACTGCGCCAGCGGAGGGACGGGAGGAGTGGTGCTGTACGGACGGACACGACCACAGCGTACACCGACCACTCGGTGGATAGATAGGAGTGTGCGTGTGGCGTACGGACGCGGCTGTGGGGGGGTGCTTTGCAGCAGAAAACCTGGATGGAGGCGCGCGCCTTCCCGGCCGTCGCGAGCTACAGCGCGCAAGTGATCCCCCGCCTTCTTCTTATCCCCCGCCTTCTTCTTCTTCATTTCGGCTCTTTTCCGTCACCACACAGTGATTTCCAAGCAGTCAGAGGCGAAATAACAGCAAAAATCAGAATGTCCTGATCTCGACGGCACCCTGAGCTGTGGCGCGTCTGCAGCTCCTGCAACAGGGTGCTGGATGCTGCTGGCCGTTTCAGCCGCCCAGGCAGAGAGTGAGGTCCCGGCCCTTCCTGCACTGATCAGATCTCTGCATTCGCTCAGGCCAGGCGGCCCCGGGCGTTGGCGGCGATGGCCGCGCGCAGACAGCAGCGCGTGTCCCGGGGGCGCGAGTATGCCGATATCAGCGGGCTCGTCAAGGAGGATGGGCAGCACGGCGTGACGGAGAGATCTGAACTCGCCTATGAGGTGACAGACAACAGGGAGGACAATGGTCGTGATGAATGTCATGAGAGAGAATGTGGTGATGGGCTGTGCACTGCAGGGCATTGAGCAGAGTTCTGGGACTGTGCTGGTGGGCGACTTGCCGTCGGATGTGTTTGTGCAGCAGCTGAGGGAGACGGCCGTCGAGGGCAGACGATGTGGGCAGACCACACACACACACACAGACACAGACACAGATACCGACACCCACACACAGACACACAAGGGCAGACAAGGCGTGTCTTTGTGTGAGGCTGGCTGCAGCATTTGGGTCATTTGGCGAGATTGATGAGTGAGTCGGCACGTACAGGCACGAAACACAGTTGTTGAGGGCGTGTGTGTGTGCTCAAGCGGCTCTGCTGTGTGTGTGTGTGTGTCTTTGCTTCAGGATCTACTTGTCGGGCCGCCGCACGGCCGCCATCAGATACTACAGGCAGGCACACACACACACACCACACAGGGATTGTGTCCGTGTGTGTGTCAGCAAGGACAGCGCACAGCATGCAGTGCATCAGCTGCGGTCCGCCAGTGTGGGCACCTTCGGGGCTCTCGACGTGCGGCTGGCTGACGAAGAGCCGGACAGAAACAGGTGCTCAGTTGTGTAGGTGTGTGTGTGTGTGTCCGCCTGTGTGAACGAATCTTGCTGCTCTCATCTTTCCTTCTCCTATAGGTCTCAGCGCACAGCGGCCGTGTTTGGCGCCCACCTGCTCATTGGCAACATGGTAGGCAGCTGTAGGTGCTTGTGTGTGGCCTTGACTGTGTGTGTGGGTGTGTTCAGGTGAAGCCCGACACCATCGAAACCTACCACACAATCCACCCGGAGGATGAGAATGTAACGACACGCAATCCCTGCACACAAGAAGGCACCCACAGACATACCATACCCACAATGTGCCTGCCTGTGTTGACTGACACACACGTGCAGTCCCGCGATTTCTCAGTGGGTGCCCCCGACCCCTCTGGGCGGATCGCCGTCTTCTTCTGCCTCACCAGACGCACTCTGCGCATCGCTTTCAAGTGACTAGGCCACCCTGTGTGTGTGTGTGTGTGCGCACCTCTCCCTCCCTCCCTCTGTGTGTGTAAATGAGCAGGGAGCGGCACACGCACCGGACCTACAAGCTGGAGTGGCAGTTCCACCAGGTGCGGCTGAGGCCTTTCGTCACCAACACCACCACTACCACCACCACCACCACAGCAACTGACAACGATCTGCACCTGGCCATCGTGTACACATGCCCGCCCAAAGTGAGCCTACTCATTCACCGCAAACACAGATGTGTGTGTGTGTGTGTGTGTGTGTCATTCGCATGGCCGCGCAGGTGTACCGCGACTTAAACCCAAGCGACGTCGACTTGACCTTGTCGAGTGACGCGAAGGACTGGCGGCGAGTGGAGTGGGTGCGCGTGACGGACCCGTGGCACATCGGCGGAGCAGATGAGGCGCCACAGGTCGGTGCGGTGGATGCGTGTGCTGTGCGCAAACCCACAGACAGACCTGTCTTTGTTTCTGTGTGTGTGGTTGCAGGGTGGCGGGCATGGTCGACATGGTGTGACGGTCGGTGCTGGCTGATTTGTGCACCACGCCAGCTGACATCACACACGTGACACGTGTCCATCCATCCATCCATTGATTGATTGTAGGCTTTGGAGGTCTCCTGGTGCGTCGTGTGTGTCTGCCCTGGCAAGAAGGTACACACCTACACACACATACAAACCACACACTTTTACAATCCACAGCCAATGCGTGTGTGTGTGTGTGTGTATGTCTGTCCGTCAGGCCCACTTTGAGAGCCACATCGCCCCCTCCCTCCTCAAGGCAGGCCTGCTGCAAGGCACACACGACAGGTCTCGACACACACGCACACACACAGCGCACACACACACAAGAAGCACAGACACCCCCACCACATACACCCATGTGTGTGCGTTGATGATGCAGTCGGGACGGTCGGCTGCGGTATGCCGTCGATCCATCGCCTGTGGTGCGTGTGGTCGACAGAGCGTCGGAAGTGGAGCAGATCACAAAGGAAATACACAGGTACACTCACCCACCCACCCACACACACACACACACTTTTGAGTCGGTTAGGGTGTCCAAGTCGCTTCTGAAGCGCAAGGACGGCTTTGTGCTGCTCGCGCAGTACCACCAGCTTATTACGAATGGTCTGTCGTTGTGGGTCTGTGTTTGCACACCCGTGCAACTCTCCCTCTCTCTCTCTCTCTCTCCCTCTGTGTGTGTGTGTGTGTCTGTGTGTCTAGGCATCCTCCAAGGCAGCAACGCGGTAGCAACACCATCATGACAGCATATCCACACACAGGTTTTTGTCATTTATGTGTGCAGGTGGAGCCTTCCTTTGTCAGGGAGGGCCTGCTCGAGCCGGACACCTCCTCCCAGATCATCTCCTTCGCCCTTGACGTACGTAGCCGAGGACACGCACTCACGCCAGCCAGTGACTGACACACGCAACAAGGGACACCGAGCATGTGCTGTGCACCTCGATCCATCAGAGCATGTTCAGACGAGCCCGGCCCTCTACCGACCCAAAGCAAGGTTCTGCATCTCTCGTAATCCCTTTGTGTGTTTGTGCCTTTGTGTGTGTGTGTGTGTGTGGATTCGTATGTGATTTACAGATTTCGACAAGGCTGCCAGATGGGCGCGGTCCAAGTAGGTAGCAGAGAGAGGGAAAACCCCGTGTGTGTCCATCTTTCTTTCTCCGTCTGTGTGTGCCTTTGTGTGGCTGGAATGCAGTCTCGGTCTGATCAGCACCCCCATCAAGTGCCCAGACCACTGCGTGCGCGTGATTCACGTGCAGGTGTGCAGCACACACCACACACACCTCACACACCACACCCACACACATGCCCGCAGGTGACCCCATTGAAGGTGGTAGTGGGCGGCGAGTACATCGAGCAGAGCAACAGGGTGCTCAGGCACTTCTGCACACACACAGACCAGTTCATGCGCGTCAGCTTCGTCGGTACCTGCGCACACAAACACACACACAGAGATCTACATGTGGCAGACAGATATGCTCGTGTGTGTGTGTGTGTGTGGATGGTGCAGATGAGGATCTCGGCTCGATCTATGGCGACGACCCGCAGTGGATGATCTTCGCGCAGAAGAGGCTCAGACACGTGCTGGAGGCCGGTACAGACACGGACACACACACACACGCGCACAGAGAAAGAGAGGGAGAGAGAGAAAACGTGTGTGTCTGTGCAGGTATCCGCGTCCCCGGCCTGCAGCACACTTACAGGTTCCTCGGCTGCAGCTCCTCACAGCTGCGGACCAATGCCTCCTGGTTCTTCGCCAGCAGCAGTAAGCCACATCCACTCACACCCACCCCTCCACACACAGGCGGCTGTGTGTCTGTCTGTCTGCCTGCCATGCAGGCCGGTTGTCATTGGAAGATGTCGAGAGGTTCCTGGGCGACTTCAGCGGCATTGACACGCCCGGTGCGTGCGTGTGTGTGTGTGTCTGTGCGATCTGTGTGAGGTGTGTGTGTGTATGTGCAGGGAAGTACGTCAAGGCGCAGGGCCTGCCCTTCTCGTCGACACGCAGCGGCATCCATGTCCCGATGGAACAGGCAAGCACACCCTCACACAGACACACACAGACCCTCAGATACACACACACATGTGGTGTCTGTCTGTCAGGTGCTCGTTGAAGCCGACGTCACACGACCGATCGACCCCGATTTCCCACAGAAAGGCACTTACGAGTTTACTGGTCAGTCTCTCGACACACACACAAACACACACACACACACACACAGACAGAGAGAGAGGGAGAGCAGTCGTCTCTGTGTGTGTGTCTGCAGATGGCTGTGGCGTGATACACCCGTCGCTGATGAGTGAGATATGGGAGGCCGAACACCTGGCCGACAAACCGTGCGCAATTCAGGTGCGCAGAATCCGCTGCACTGCACGGCAGATGGACTTGTGAGTGTGTGTGTTGGGGGGGGGGGGGGGG